CGCGCCGCGCCTGCAGGGCATCGGCGGCCGGGTCAGCAGTCTGGCCGACGACCACCTGAAGGCGTGCCGGCAGCTGACGGTGCGGCTCTGCCGCCTGCTCGGCACCGCCGCCGAGGAGCTCACCCACCTGGAGAGCACGGTACGGGGGCCGCCCACGGCCCGAGCCGGGTTAGAGGCGCGCCCACTCGTACCAGACTCCCATCTTGGGCACCGCTCGTAGGTGCTGTGCGTATACTCGAAGCTGGTTGGACTTGCGTTAGTTGGCCCTGCGACTATGTAGCGCCTGCCACATAGCCAATTTTCACTACGCGCGCCGAATAACCGTTGTAAAGCGCCCCAAGATCCGAGGTCCTCAATGTCGCCCCATGTGGGCCTCGGCCTCCATCGCCCTTCCTCTGTAACACTATACCAGATGTGATCGCTGTCCTCAAAGCGTGGCGGCTTCACTGAGACTACAGCGACAGGAATCGGACCAAAAAGTTAAAAGGACCCGAATCCAGGGCCGTTCCATTCGTGCCGTTCATCTCCACTCGCACACGTCTGAAGACCATGTGTGCAGGTCTGCCCGTCCATTCGTCCGGTGCAGGCGCTGGGTTTTGAGTCTCCGACTCGGCCTGGGTGCGCGCCGCGTGCGCGGCCGGCACTGCCGCTGACGCCCGCCCCGCCGCCGCCCGGCAGACGGAGGGTCTGGAGAGCGACACGCTGCGGGAGTTCGCGGCCGGCGCCGTCATGGCGCTGGACCACCTCATGCTGGAGACGGTGCGCGGCTGCGAGGACGCCGAGGTCCTCATCACCGGTGGGTGCGGCTGCGAGGACGCCGAGGTCCTCCACTGGTGGGTGCGGCTGGGGGACGCCGCGGTCCTCATCACCGGTGGGTGCGGTTGCGAGGACGTCGCGGTCCTCATCACCGGTGGGTGCGGCTGGGAGGACGCCGAGGTCCTCCACTGGTTGGTGCGGCTCGGGGACGCTGCGGTCCCCATCACCAGTGGGTGCGGCTGCGAGGACGCCGAGGTCCTCCACTGGTGGGTGCGGCTGGGGGACGCTGCGGTCCTCATCACTGGTGGGTGCGGCTGCGAGGACGCCGAGGTCCTGATCACCGGTGGGTGCGGCTGAGAAGTCGATGAGGTCCTCATCATCGAAGGTTGCGAGCTGGAGGATGCTGGGGTGCTTATCTCTGGTGGATATTGTGGGTAGGAGGACGGTGTGGTCGTCGTCACTGGTGGGCGTTGCTCGACGGACGCCAGTGAGCCGAGCCGGAGAGAGCTGAGCCTCCGCACTCAGCAAACGCAGACATCACGAGCAGAGCGAGGGCCGCTGTCGATGCGCTGTGTGTGTTGTGGCTGACTTGATGCCGCGTAGCCAGCGCCGATCACTGTCTTGTCTTGGATTAGGGCGCATAGCCTCCTAGGCTCAAGCGTCCGTTTCAACTGTCTTCGTCGGGTCACTTTTGTATTCAGATTTTCCTTGCAGCTTTCTTTTGGTACGCTATAGTTACTAAACATGGTATAGAAAAATGGAAGATTTAGCCACGGGATGGATGCTATCGCGGGGATTTATAAGTACTCAGTAGTTAATCATATTTCGAATTTTGTGCCGACCATTGACTGTCCATGCGTGCGCCAGGTCTGGTGGACGACTCGGTGTCGCCCGACTCGGCCGACTCTGCCGGTCTGTACTCGGCAGCGCACGAACTGGTGGCCTGCCTGCGCAGCTGGCTTCAGCGCGGTCGACCCTCGCAGGTCAGGCTCCTTCCCCCCCCCCCCCCCCTCTGCGCTGTCATCTTAGCTGCCCCACCCCTCCACTTCTCTCCCTCACAGCCGACCAGCTGCCTCCGCTCTGCCGAACAGCTGCTCCCACTCTCTGCCGACCAGCCGCTTCCGCCCTCTGCCGGCCAGCTGCTCCCGCTCTCTGCCGACCAGCCGCTCCCGCTCTCTGCCGACCAGCTGCTCCCACTCTCTGCCGACCAGCTGCTCCCGCTCTCTGCTGACCAGCTGCTCCCACTCTCTGCCGACCAGCTGCTCCCACTCTCTGCCGACCAGCTGCTCCCACTCCCTGCCGACCAGCTGTTCCCACTCTCTGCCGACCAGCTGCTCACGCTCTGCCGATCAGCTGTTCCCACTCTGCCGACCAGCTGTTCCCACTCTGCTTCTCCCGCCCCCTGCCGATCAGCTGTTCCCACTCCCTGCTGACTTCCCCTCCCTCCCATTCAGCCACGCCCGCCGGAGTCGGTTCCGTTGTGGCACGGCACACACCTGAGCCCAACACTGAGGCCGCAGACGCACGCTGCCAGCGCGGTGGTGCCTGTTTGGCCGGGTCGGATTCCGCGGGCCTGTTTGGCGCCGCCTTGTGTGCCCTTCCCAACACGCCATACGTCTGGACGCGAAGAGCGCGTAACTTGGCCTGTGCTGTGGGACGCCGTTCGCGGCCGTGGCTGACCGAGCGGCCTGCCGTGACTCGCCAGTGTTCGGCTGCGGCGGCGGCGGCCGGCGACGCGGGCGGCGCGGACGAGGCGGGCGCGCTGCGCCGGCGGCTGGCCGGCGTGCAGCAGGCGGCCGGCTGGGTGACGGCGCTTCGCTCGGCAGTGCGGCTCATCCTGCTCAGCGTCGACCGGCATCACAAGGGTGAGGGGACCTGCGCCGAGAGGGCGGCCGATGTCGCGGGCAGGGGTTCATCCTGCTCAGCGTTGACCGGCATCATAAGGGTGAGAGGGACCTGCGCCGAGAGGGCGGCTGATGTCGCGGGCAGAGGCTCATCCTGCTCAGCGTCGACCGGCATCACAAAGGTGAGAGGGACCTGCGCCGAGAGGGCGGCCGATGTCGCGGGCAGAGGCTCATCCTGCTCAGCGTCGACCAGCATCACAAAGGTGAGAGGGACCTGCGCCGAGAGGGCGGCCAATGTCGCGGGCAGAGGCTCATCTTGCTCAGCGTCGACCAGCATCACAAAGGTGAGAGGGACCTGCGCCGAGAGGGCGGCCAATGTCGCGGGCAGAGGCTCATCCTGCTCAGCGTCGACCGGTATCACAAGGGTGAGAGGGACCTGCGCCGAGAGGGCGGCCGATGTCGCGGGCAGAGTGCGAGGGCCCGACAGGTGCGCATTCAGGAGCTGGCGATAGGAAGCACTGACTGGCTGGTGGGAGGGGTTATATGTACACCACAGGAGTGGGTTATGGAGAGGGGCGAGAGCATCACTGAGGCGAACTTTGCTGAGCTAGGACAGAAGCTACAAAGCTACGATGTGGATGGAACAACAGCTTAAACGACAGTAGAGATGCAAGATTTTGGCCTCGTGATGATACCGGCAGTCACCTCTGACTCATTGTCGCCACTTGTACGGCGCCGGGGTTGGCGACACCAGCACTTGGTGGCCACGTGTCAGGGTATGTTGGCTTGTCCTGAATTCATTAAAGTTTGGTCCGGGTTCGGGTCGGTACGAGCCAAATCTTGCCCACTTCCGACTGGTACCGACGGGATGAGCCCTGTGCCGGTCCCCCGATTTTGAACTTACGCATCTCTAGACGCAGGCAAACGACAGTAACTGCCACAAATAAGTCAGGAAGATCACACAGCAATGTGAAAGCAGAGTGCGGAGGTGTCAGTCGGTGCCGGTCAGACCGTCCGTGGCTGCTGACGCCCCGCCGTCCGCGCTCTCCGCCAGGGGCGAGCTTGGACCGGACGACGCTGTGCGATGCCGTGCGCAAGCTGCTGCACGCGTGCCGCCGCCTGACGCCGACGCTACTGGCGGCGCCGGACGCCGATCTGCGCCAGGGCCGCGCCGAGCTGGGCGCCGCCGCCGCCGCCCTGCTGCGCCTCGTCGACGGCGCCGACGAGTCGAGCAGCACGGTGCTGAGCGCCGGCAGCGATATCTCGCGGCGCGCGCGCACGCCCGACTCGCCGCTGTTCGCGTCTCTGCTGGACTCGCCGACGGGCGGCGAGCGCGTCTCGCCGCTGCCGGCCGAGCTGATGGCGGCGCGCCTGCGCCAGGCCGTCGGCCAGCTGGACCGCAGTCCGAGCAAGTCCAGTCTGCGCTCGCGCGACAGTCCGGTCAAGGGCCGCGTCCAGTTCCGACGCCCGGCCGTGGCCGCCGCCGCCGCCGCACGCCGGGAGTAACGCTGCGACGTGCTGACGAGGGGGAGGGGGGGGGGGCTGGTAGCGGGTGCCGCGCGCGGGCTTGTTTTGCGCGCGCTGAGTTCGGATAACGCTTGATGGCTTGTTGCCTGGGAACGGGAGCGGTGTCGTTCCCTTGGTGGCCGCCGCTGTTATTCGTTTTGCTTTCCCGATTGCAATGGCAACTGAAACGCAAGCTGATTCAGTTGTCATGAACTCACGTAAAGTCATCTCTAATCACCGATTCCTGTTGGCAGACACTAATTTTGCGCGCTGGCCGAAGCTGCCGGTAGGAGTGCGGTTGTTAAGCGACACTGACTCCGAACGCCTCCTTTGTCGTAATTTATGGTCACAACAAGCAGCGTAGCTGTCATGTGCCCGTGCTTTGCGTTCCGTTGCGAACATTCAATGTACTGTGTGGTCTGATTGTGTTTTTGCGGTAGATAGTATTACCAGACTTGTAAAGTAATAAATGTGCCCTGGTGAGCTCTTGAAGTGAGTTTGTACAGCCGGTTCGACGGACGATGGCGGGCAATGTGTACATGATCGACAATACTAGATAAGTATTGTCGATCGATGTACACATTGCCCCATCGATCACCACTCCACTCACCCATCGGTCAATGGGTGAGATGCCAGGACATTTGTCCCCTTCATCCAGGTGCACACTGCGGATGTATTCGTTTAAGGTCTAGATTTCCCAGCCGAAGTGATAAGCGACGTTCAAAAGAATGTCCTTGGTCTCGAATACCGGCGGATAAAAATGCTGACATCGCAACTTTAGAATTATATCAGGTGAAAGTGCCGCAGGATCATAATATAGCAGCCTGTTGTCGCTTCCTTCTTCTCCTGCAAGTGGGGCGGCGAGAGCTACGCTTTAGTGACGCCGTATTGTGGTTGGTGGGTGGTGTGGTCAGCTGGTGCCATTGCATATTGTCCGATCTTGTTGCGTTTGTGATAGCAGACGGGGATATTTTCGTGACTGGTAAGTTCCCCGTCACCTTCTTTTAACGATAGAATATCCACCTTATCTCCCCATGTTCGTGGAATAGCGTATGAGTGTCCCATAGGATTTGCGCCACATTTGCCTAATCCTCACTTGAGCTTAGGCTGCAAAATATCGATTATTCCTAAATATAGGGATGTGGGACAGAGCTATGAATAATTTTCAATTGCATTCTTTGATTGAAACAGATGTTGATGGCATTAATTGAGGCACAGTCAATCAGTGTATCAGTTCGTGTAAGGGTGAAGGACATGCAGAAGATTGACAAGATTTGGACAATTGGGCTAGCAAAAATCGTTTTGTGACCCTACCTTTTGTTATTTGCCAATATCAAATTTACATCAAAATATAGCCAGTATTTTTGCCTATCTGTAAGCACTTAACTATCCTGTGAGAATAGTGAGAGGCACAACAGACACCAGTGATTGTCAAGGAGGTTCCAACTATTTAATTTTCATTATGGGCTGCTTACCTAAAATGTCATCAAAGCAAGCCATACCATGAGGAACCTTTTATGGTGGTGATGCTGCTGAGGTCATGTTTGCAGGAGTGTACTTGGACAATGCATTAACTTTCATAGCTATTATCCTGGATTTGGGCACAAGTACAGTTCCCTGGCTTGTGGAGGTTTGGAATAACTGAGCAATGGTGAAAAGTAAGTAAGACACATGAATGATAGAGGTGGTCATTAATATATTTATTCTTAAATAGATCTAAAAGCCTGCCTGGTGCTGCAGCACAACCATAATTTTGTTGCAAGCATGGGCACTAAGATGTTTTTGGGAACATCACCAATTTGTAGTTAGGGGGTCACATCTAGTTGGTTTGTTTTGTTATTATTGACTGACAGCAATATAGGAAAAATTTGCCTCTTCTGTAGAAAGCACATGCCAATTTTAATTTCAGTGATAGCGTTACTCCAATATATGCTTCATAAAAACTTCTAAGCTTTTTTAAACAACTTATGTTACATTAAGATATGATGTCTTTCAGATTATTAGCAGTATTGGTTTAAGTACTTCCAAGGCGGTGGGCCACTACCACCAAGTCCTCTCTAGCAGTGAAAAAGTAGTAAGCAACCTAATGTTTAATAAGTAAACCATTGACTAAACCTCAGTTCTCACCTAAAAGGGGAGCTATAGGATCTCAAGCTTTTATGTCATTATGGAACATGGGCTTGCAAAGCTTTATGTATATATATATATATATATATATATATATATATATATATATATATATGTATATATATATATATATGTGTATATGTGTATATATATATGTATATATATATATATATATATATATATATATATATAGCCTTTATAGTCTTAGTCTCACTTCATTTCTTTGCAGAATGACTGTGGTAAGGTGCTAGTACTTATAAAAGATAGAATAGATGCTTGGACTAGTGTCCTCTGATGTGTTAGAATGTACTTCAGTACTGGCTCTTGCATTGTTTTATTTTCATGGTAACAATTAGCATGTGATTATGCTATTATGGATAAGCACATTAAACAAAAACAATGTTTAACTCAAACACTCCATAGAATAAGCTTTCATTCCATTTTGCATCCCTTTTGTCCTCTTTTGCTTTAGCAATTACACCCATTGTGGAGTTATGAACATTGGTGCATAATGATGAAGTATGAACACTTCTAGCACAATCTTGTTTTGGAATGAAGTTAACAACTGCAGTGCCATGATTTTCTTATGATGTTTAAACATTCTGGCATAATTTTCTGATGCTTAAATCATAGCTCCATTCTGAAATATGACAGGATATAGATGTCTCACAGTTCAAGTGAGTTCTACTCAAAATATGATAGGGCATTTACTGAATTAGGCCAATCTGGCAGTCAGATCAAGTTGACCACATTTACTAAGATTGCTGACTTCATAAGCACTGATCATGTTGTAATATGCAAGAGCATGCAGCACAACTCTCAAAGTTTTGCCATGTAAATTGCACCTTGTTGTGCAAGTTTGGGGACATTTACATGTAATATATGTACAAAGACATTTTTCCTGCAGTAGCACACTTCATACAAAATATTGTGCCCTTCAATGAGTTAACATGGGAAATAAAATTTTTGCTTCACAAAAATGATATGTATTTGGACAAATATGATTCAATGTAGCAATATGGCTTATTTGCATGGCCAGTTGCCTAGCATGGTTGCATGCTGGGCAATTGGCATTATCTGCCCACATCTTGGCTTCATTTATGTGGTGGCAACACTATCTGTCACCACTGACCTCACTCCATGTCACAGAATGCCTGTCACTGATAGTATGTATGCTCCTCTTATTACTGTTTGTACTTTCAGGTATTGCTTAGTGCCCTTGATTGTACTGGCTCGGTCTGCGCACGTTCCCTGTTCTGACGCAGTGTGCCTGCCCCCCAGCGGCCAGCGCCTGTCGGTCCAGCGCGGCGAGATGTCGTCTCACCAGCACCGCTACAAGAACACGGGCATGGACCCGGCCGAGATGCGCCGTCGCCGGGAGGAGGAGGGCATCCAACTGCGCAAACAGAAGCGCGAGCAGCAGCTCAACAAGCGGCGCAACGTGACGCTGCCCGAGCTTCAGGACGACGAGGTGTCCTCCACCGGCCAGGTCAGGCACCATCCCAGTCATCTGCTCCCTGTGACCCAGCTGGAGGTTAGGTCACAGCCCTAGTCCTCTCCTCTGTGACCGAGCTGGAGGTCAGGTCATAGCCATAGTCCTTTCCTCTGTGACCCAACTGGAGGTTAGGTCATAGCCCTAGTCCTCTCCTCTCTATGACCCAGCTGGAGGTTAGGTCATAGCCCTAGTCCTTTCCTCTATGTGACCCAGCTGAAGGTTGGGTCGCAGCCCTAGTCCTTTCCTCTGTGACCCAGCTGGAGGTTAGGTCACAGCCCTAGTCCTTTCCTCTATGTGACCCAGCTGAAGGTTGGGTCACAGCCCTAGTCCTTTCCTCTGTGACCCAGCTGGAGGTTAGGTCACAGCCCTAGTCCTTTCCTCTGTGACCCAGCTGGAGGTTAGGTCACAGCCATAGTCCTCTCCTCTGTGACCCAGGCAGAGGTCAGGTCACAACCTCAGTCCTCTCCTCTATGTGACCCAGCTGGAGGTCAGGTCACAGCCCTAGTCCTTTCCTCTCTGTGACCCAGCTGGTGGTTAGGCCATAGGCCCAGTCCTTTCCTCTCTGTGACCCAGCTGGAGGTCAGGTCATAGGCCCAGTCCTTTCTTCTTCGTGACCCCGCCAAAGGCCAGGTAGGACTTTGTCCCTCCCTCCGTGTCACGCTGCCTGGTCAGGCCTGGCACCCAGCCATGTTACCTCTTTTCCAGGACGCTGTGTGGTCAGTAATCTTTGCTGCTTTCATTGTCGAGACAAAATATGCTGAACTCGTAATCTAGCGGCCCCGGGTATGGGTGCCGCCGGATTACGACAGTACAACAGTGCCACACAGTGCGCCCCAGGCCGGGCGCGCTGTGTTTGGCCCAACTGACATGGAAAGGTCAGCTGGCAACTGACCAAGGAGGATTAGCCAGGTCCGGAGAAGCTGTGCCTGGTCATAGCTCCAGTCCTCCCCGCCCCGTGACCCTGCCGGAGGTCAAGTCGAATAGTGTGCGATACACACTCCACACTCGTAGCTCTATCTGGCAGAGGGCCTGAGGCGAAACTCTTTGGACTGGCCGGGCCTGTGTTGATGGTGGGTGCAGGGTGTACGCAACATGATTTCACCGGGAAAGGTTCTGAACATTGTTCTATCCTGATTAACCGTATTATAATCGTATGGAATAATATGCTATTAAAATGAGAAATGTAAGAATATTGTATGGAAAAAATGACGCGTAACGGTCATTGTGTGGCCTCCGCCGTCTGTGGTCGTCCCTCGTCACTAGACGTGTGTTGCCGGCTCGTGGCCCTGACGCCGCTCCGTCGGCGCGCGCAGGACATGCCCGTGCAGTCCGTCACCAAGGACATCGTGGAAGCGCTGTACAGCGGCGAGCTCGACCAGCAGACGGACGCCACGCACAAGTTCCGCAAGCTGCTGAGCCGCGAGCCGAACCCGCCTATCGACGAGGTCATCCGGGCGGGCATTGTGCCGCGCTTCGTCGAGTTCCTCAAGGTCGACGACCAGCGCCTGCAGGTGCGTGCGGTGGCCAGTGAGGAGTAGCCACGCAGGCGGCCAGCCGTGGGTGGTCGGCAGCGGCGAGGGAGGCGGGTTTCAGCGGCGCCATCGTGATGACGTGGGGATGAACTTGTCTTGGGCGGTACGTTTGTCGTTGGGTGCAGGGGCGATATAATGCAAATGCATGAGCGCGTCTGTTAGCTGTCAGATAGGTGGGGAGAGACTGGGTTCTTGTCGGCTCTGTTCAGCCTCTGATTACGGAGCTGCCATTTCGCGCGGGCCCGCGTGACGTTTGTCGGCCCGCTGCCGGTAATCCCCGCATGAGCACACCACGGTCGCACGAGCACACCTCGGCCTCACCTGACCCTCCTGGCCGGCAGTTCGAGGCGGCCTGGGCGCTGACCAACATCGCGTCCGGCTCGTCGGCCCAGACTCGGCGGGTGGTGGACGCGGGCGCCGTGCCCATTCTGATCGCGCTGCTCCAGTCCCAGTACGAGGACGTCAAGGAACAGTCGGTGTGGGCGCTCGGCAACGTGGCCGGCGACTCGCCCGAGTGTCGCGACTACGTGCTGGAGCAGAAGATGCTGATGCCGCTGCTACAGTGAGTCGGGCGGACGTGACGTCTGCCGAGACCAGAGCGCGGTCGGCCTCCGCCGACTCTCGCCGCCAGCAGCTGTTTGGGGCCGTGTCCCGGTTCGATTAGGCTTTGGTCTCCCGGATCTCTGCGGCAGTAGTGGCCCTGATGTGTGGTGTGGTAGGCTGAGGATCCGCTCGTTTTGAACCGTCGGGACGATAGAAGAGAGACTCAGGCTCAAGATGGTACAGTGCTGGTGTTTTGTAATGCATGGTATTCATTAAAGGTAATTAAGACGGCCTGTTTCAGTAATGATATACATGATATTGGCTAAGTAATTTGTGTGTTTGTAGTTATGTGAAAATGCAACTTGACGAATGTTACGTATATACTTGTTGCAAGGAGGTCGTCATAATTCCCTTTAACAGAGCGTCAGGGCGTTGTTTTCATCCTGTGCTAAACGATATTGAGGTCTGAGCTCGCCGTGAACTGCATCTGTTGATCTGGTTAATGTGGTCTTTCGGGCTCCTCCACTACGAGGCCGCCCAGCATCCGGTGTCCGGGCAGACAGTGAGGGAGACGCCGCCTTGTCTCCGCCCTGGGCCCGCCCAGCCCGTGGCACCACCCCCTAACGCCCCCCCCCCCCCCCTCCCTGCAGGATCTTGGCCAATGACCCGCAGCGGCTGACGCTGAAGCGGAACGCGGTGTGGGCGCTGAGCAATCTGTGCCGCGGCAAGAACCCGCCGCCCGACTTCGACAAGGTGTCGCCGTGCCTGCCGGTGCTGGCGCGCCTGCTCTTCGACCCCGACAGCGAGGTGCTGGCCGACACGTGCTGGGCGCTTGGCTACCTGTCGGACGGGCCCAACAACAAGATCCAGGCGGTGATCAACGCCGGTGTCTGCCGTCGGCTCATCGAGCTGCTCATGTGAGTCGGCCGTCGCCGACTGGCGGGCTGGCCGTGCCGCCCGTCTTGTGCGTTCGCCTCGGTGTGTGGTATGGGGCCTTGTTCTGGTATGTCAGGAGTATATATGCGACCTGCTTTATTTCATGTCTTTTTCAATGTGTTTGGTTATCTGAGTTGTGCCGCGAGGCTTTGTAAGCATATATCATTCCAGAAGCCTCCAGATCAATCCACGATTGGATTGTTTCTGCCTGAGAGCGGTTTACTACTGTTCATCCGCGATCATCCACCTGGTGTAGATTGGACGCCGGGAGGTTGTGCCCTGGTCCTTCCCAAAAAGTGAATAGTTAAGAGAATGTGTGCCCTCTCTCTGATGCCGGTGGCTGCCTTTGCCCCACCTCCGAGCACCGCCATTGACAGCAGCTGTGAACAGTCGATGGTTGTGGCCCAACCCGTTTGACGTCTGACACCCTGGGTTCCTCTGAGCAGCTGCAGGGAACAGTCGGTGGTGAGCGTCTGACGCCCTGTGTTCCTCTTTCCGAGCAGCAACAGTGAACAGTCGGTGGTGAGCGCGGCGCTGCGTGCAGTCGGCAACATCGTCACCGGAGACGACATGCAGACCCAGGTGATCCTCAACTGCCAGGCGCTGCCCTGCCTGCTCTACCTGCTCAGCTCGCCCAAAGAGAACATCAAGAAGGAGGCGTGCTGGACCATCAGCAACATCACGGCCGGCAACAAGGCCCAGATCCAGGTCAGGGCATCAAGAGAGTCCGCTGGGCGGTCAGCATGATCGCCACCGGGCTAGACACGGTCGGCGACATTTAGACATCCGGCGCTTGATTCTGCGACTGGTCTGGGATGGACTGAGGTGACAGTGACCGCCATCGCGCTGTGTCATGGGATGGACTTTCCTGCCGTACATAATTGGATCGTTCGGGATGCCGCGTCCTGTGGGGAGTGACAGGAAAAGGAAGCAAACTGTGGCATGCAACAGGACATGTTGATACATTTTCATGACTTAGAGCCAGCTCTCCTGTGTCTGACAGGCAGCTTATAAGCGGAGCGTTCGAGCGTGCGCTGGGCGGGTTGCATGACCTCTTGGATTTAGCGGTGAGGGTGAGAGCGGCCGCTTGGCGTCGCGTGAGGCGGCGTGTCGGGCGGGCCGGCGTGTCGCCCCCACTGACCACCCGCTGTGGGGGCGCGGCAGGAGGTGATCGACATCAACATCTTCCCGGTGCTGATCGAGATCCTGTGGCGGGCCGACTTCCGGACGCGCAAGGAGGCCGCCTGGGCCATCACCAACGCCACCACCGGCGGCACCGCAGACCAGATCAAGTACATCGTCCAGCAGGTAGGCGGCGGCCCGCGGGTGGGGGGGCGGGAGGTTAGTCCACGCGGTTGGCATGGTGTTGACCCGGTGCTTGACGCTGAGCGCAATATTTTTTTGCAATTGGGGATGGCATTGTGCTGGGTGTGGTGAGGAGAAGCGTTGTTGCACTGGTGTGCGGATAGCTTGTTATCGTGACTGGGTCAAGTCAGCGGGTGGAGTGGTCTGGTCGACACCGGGTCAGGTCAGCGGGTGGAGTGGTCTGGTCGACACTGGGTCAGGTCGGCCGCAGCACTGGCTCAGGTGATATGACCCCGCCCGCGACAAGGTCAGGTCAGCGGGTGGAGTGGTCTGGTCGGCATCGGATCAGGTCGGCCGCATCAGCGGCTCGGGTGATGTGAGCCCAGCCGTGCCGCCGCGTCGCTCACTCCTGTCCACCTGCGCTCCCCGCAGAACTGCATCCCGCCGCTCTGTGAACTGCTGACCGTCATGGACCCCAAGATCATCCAGGTGGCGCTCAACGGCCTGGTCAACATCCTCAAGCTGGGCGAGGCGGAGGCCAAACAGGCCGGGCAGAACCCGTACGCAGTCATGATCGAGGAGTGCTACGGTGAGAGGCGCCAAGGGCTATTGTTTCTGTCGGGTGCTCCGGAATATGTGCCCTTTTCATCAAAGGACATAGTTTATGTAACACTTTTAGGTTATGCACGGCCCCGAGGCTCAGACAACATTCGTGGTGGCTGATATGTAATATTCGTATATAACGTTATTATCTAATGTCTGTTTCGGACTTTGTGTAACTTACGGCATAGTTGCCTACTCTTGTTTTTGTTGTGCAGTCTTGAATGCTTAACTGTTTTCGGGGTGATGGGGGCTTGGGTGACTACATTTTTGACACCTTGGTGACGTGTCTGCACAGATTGGGAGCATTTTCTGGATTTAAGCGTCTTATTTTTCGAGTACAATTTGCTGAACATTTCTGGGTCATTGTATTTATTGAGAAGAGCACAGGCCAAATTACGGAGTGCTGCCAATGTAATCGTTATTTAGCACCACTACGTCGTTTAACCAGTACCTCCTAGTATACTGAAGGTCGTCAGTTCAACATAAGAACTTCATTACATGATAGCTTGCCAATATTCAAAGTTAGCACACCACGCTCTCATCCTGATGAGCTTATGGGTGCCACGTGACCAGTGTAGTCGGCACGTTGTAAAGCCCAGACCATCGTCATCGCCATCGCCATCCTGACTGGATTGCCTCCGCGTGTGGCCATGTGCTGCGCGTGGCGAAATTCGGCGCCGCGTGACTATCCACGTCCGTCCGCTGCAGGCCTCGACAAGATCGAGTTTCTGCAATCGAACAAGAACCAGGAGATCTACCAGAAGGCGTTCGATATCATCGAAACGTACTTCGGCAGCGAGGATGAGGTGGCGCAGGTGGCGCCGGCCGGCGACCAGCTGGGGGAGTACCAGTTCGCGGCGGACGCCCAGGCGCCGGCTAACATTCATTTCTAGCCGGCCGGCCCCGGCGACAGCGCATCTAGTCAGCCGGCCCTCGCCCCGCCCCCTTTCCTCTCCGAGAGCCCCTCGCGCCGGGCGGCCGCCGCCGCCGCCGCCGGAGACTGTGCAATGGCCGGCGTGCGCTGCGGGACGCCGCCGCGCGCGACGACCTGACCTCGGCGAGCCGACTGGACCTCGCCCCTACTGAAACTGACTGTGATACACGAGCGTGCGTGCGAGCGAGCGTGTGAGTGCCTGCGGGAGCGTGTGGTTGAGGGCGCGGGCGCGGGACGCCGTGGCGAGGCCGGACGCGGGGGCTGCCTGCGGCCGGGGCGCTGCGTTATGGCCGGCGCCCTCGCGGTGGCCCGGGCAGGCCGCCGGCGCTGCCTGTTTTATACGGACTGTTTGGCGTGCGGTGACGTGCGGGAGCGCGCCCGCGACCGCGTGAGTGCGCGTGAGAGGGAGTGAGCATGAGGGCGTGAGCGCGCGTCGACTGACGCCGTGGCGCCGGTCGGCCGCGGCCGGACTTCTGACCAGGACGGACGGACGGCGGATCGGGAGGCGTGCCCGCGTGATTGGTCGCCCCGGCCGCCACCTTTTAGCGGACGGGAGCGGGCTACCGGGCCGTGCGCAGACCTCAGTCGGGCCTCGCTCCGGCATGCGCGTGCTCGCCTGTGCGCTCGTTCTTGGCTCCAGCTGTCTGCTAACACAACGCGGATTTTGTTAATAATTTATGAGATATTTGCACTGATTTGAGACTTTTCTTTGATTGTGCCTCAATAAACGTTTAATCTATCGGCCGTGCCGTGTTGGATGATGTGGTGACTGGATGAGTGGCTGTTGCGCCTGCAGTGCGTTTCACCCTTATGGAGCCATGCCTACCGTCATCTCGACGTATGCCATATATGCAGCGGTTGAACATCGCTGGCTCTATTCTATTCGGGCGCGCGGGTCGTGTGTGATCTACCGCCACGGCCAGTCCGTCGCCAGAGGGTCGTCACGCGTGGCCGCGCCGCCACGCTGGCCACAGCGCCGTGACGATCGTGTCTGTTGTCACCAGGATCAGGATCGGACGGCTCGCTGGGGCGCTGAGTTCAGAGTGTTGGCCCATTTCACTCCGTGTCCGCCTCTGGCTTCAGCCATCCGGCTTCATATGAATAGGGGAACACGCGTTGCCTTCACATACGTCTGGTCCAGACCAGGGCGCAGGCAGTAGGAGCTGCGCGGCCCGCCGCCCAGTCGGGTGCGGGCGGCACCATCTGTGAGCGAGCAGCGGAGGTGCCGCCGCGCCGCTCGGCCGCCAGGCGCGCCGCCACGGAAGGGTTGGCGGTGTCAGCTGTCGCCGGGCCGGCCCGGTTGGCGGCGGGCGGCGGCAGTGTTGGGCCGCAGGGCGGCGCGGCTGCGAGCGGCGCCGCGCGCTCCCCCGCCATGACGGACGCGGCCGGCGAGCCGGACCCCGCCGCCGAGCGCCGGCCGACCTGCCTGCACGCCTGGGAGGACGGTCGGCCCGGTCTCGGCGCCGGCTTCGGCGCGTTGCCCGGCCAGGACGAGGCCGACCGGCCGCGGCCCGAGTCGGCGCCCGACCCGGCCAGCGGGGCGGCCAAGGCACGCGGCTCCAGCCGCCGCAACGCCTGGGGGCCGCACAGCTACGCCGACCTGATCACGCAGGCGATCCTCTCCACGCCAGAGCAGCGCCTGACCCTGGCCCAGGTGTACGAATGGATGGTGGCCAACATCCCCTGGTTCAAGGACAAGGGAGACAGCACGAGCTCCGCTGGATGGAAGGTAGGTTCGTCCAGCGTGCGCGCGTGAGAGGGGTCCGGCCGACGGACCTTCGTAGGGGGGCGGTATCATCGATAGTAAAGAGGCCTAGTTGCGAAGTCGCACAACCAGCGCGCTGTTGGCTGAGGACTGGACTGAATTTGTCCGAGAGGCCCGGAGCAGTCTGTGTAAACGGTTTTGCATCGTCTGGTGATTGTGTTCTGTGTCTTGAGACATTAGTCATCTAAGTGCAATTTCATGTTCTCATCGGTTACCGTGGAAAGATAACACGATCTATGGCTGGAATACACTACAACCCTGTTGCGAAAGATACTGGAGTGTTCCGCTTTCAAAGCTCCCACGGTCTCCGCAGCACTGGTGGAACCGGGTACTGGTGCAAGTTGCGCGATACATCAGTGATAATCAGTGATAAATAGCCCGATAATCGCGCAGTGCTTAAGCCTAGTAGCTTGAACGTGACAGCCTTTAGCATATCTCTCATGTAAGACCAACAACTTGGGGCGTTGCCGTCTTTAGCTTGTTTCGTGTCTTAAGACCGTAACAGCTGAGCGTGTCTCTAGTGTATCTCTCATGTAAGACCAACAACCTGGGGCGTTGCTGTCTTTAGCTTGTTTCGTGTCTTAAGACCGTAACAGCTGAGCGTGTCTCTAGCGTATCTCTCATGTAAGACCAACAACCTGGGGCGTTGCTGTCTTTAGCTTGTATGGTGTCTTAAGACCGTAACAGCTGAGCGTGTCTCGCTTGGGAGGCCTGACATCGGGGCATCGGTTCGACCTTCCCGATGTCTTGCACAGGTCGTCACACCAATCAGTCTGCAGGCTCACTCCAACCCACAAGTCCCAAACCGCTGGCGAGACCCCGTCGGCCCCGTGGCCATCTGACTCCGACGCTAACCGTTCGCTCCACGTTGGGACTCCCGAGGCAGAGCGTCGTCGGGGCAGCTCCGGCCCCAGCACTGTTGAGTTGTTCGAGGAATCCCGCTCCGGCGAGGAGGCGGGTGCCGTCGAACGCCGTGCGGGCCGGGGCCGGTGACGTCACGGTAGTGTTGGTTGTCATCCTGCGGTCCACTCGGTCAGCCCGTGACCGCCCTCTCGGTGACGTGTCAGGACGTGTCAGGCTTGGACGGATGCCACTGGTGCGTGCCGGCTTTCAGGGGCACCTTTCGTGTTCGGACATGGTTTGTCATTCGCTCACGTTTGAAGGAAATGCCGAACCTATTTGGCGATTTGGAGCTAACGCCAGCTTAGACGCTATCACTCGGTAACAGCGGCACGCTCGGTCTGGCCATTAGGGGGCAGGGGCTGTTGCGTCGCGGCGGTCGGCGTTAGCAGCCGGTTTGGCATGGAAAACATGGTGTCAAAGGTACTGATCAAAACGGGTACCCCGTGTTCCTGAGTTCCGAAGCAAAGACGCTCTTTGTTAGCCCCCTAGGGCTCTGCCTTCATGCCCCACGCCGTCGTTTTACCAGCAAGAATGGTTCTGCCACTGACGCGGCCCTCCCCCCCCCCTTAAAATCGTTGCTACGCATACTCCCCACCCAAAATCGTATCACTGCCAGTTGTCTACCTCCTCAATATCGGGCAGCCCGCTCGCTGTGCGGCCGACGGCAGCTGTCCGCCCCGTCGGCCGCGGCGCCGCGGGGCGGTCAGCTGGCGCCACCGCGGCCCGCTCAAGGTGCAGCGTTTTTGTGGCGCCGCCTCCCACTCTCACTTCTCTCTCTCTCTCTCTCTCTCTCTCTCTCTCTCTCTCTCTCTCTCTCTCTCTCTCTCTCTCTCTCTCTCTCTCCTCTCTCTCTCTCTCTCTCTCTCTCCTCTCTCTCTCTCTCCTCTCTCTCTCTCTCTCTCTCTCTCTCTCTCTCTCTCTCTCTCTCTCTCTCTCTTTCTCTCTCTCTTTCTCTCTCTCTCTCTCTTTCTAGCGCGCGCCACTCGGCCAAGCGCGCCAGTACTCGCGCGCGAGCGCCCTGTCGCGCGGCAAAAACAGCGCGCCGCGATGAATGGCGGCGCTGCGCCGCCCCGCTTCTTGCGGCGCGTCGCAGCCGCTTCCGTGCCGCCCGCTCGCCGGGGGTGCTGGATGGTGTCCGCCTGGCCCGCATCGCACAGCGGGGGCCGGGTGACGGCGGCCAGCGGAGAGACGGTGCCGCCACACCGACGGGACGGCGAGCGGAGGCACTCCAGGCTCGGATGGAGAATGCCAACAGGAGCTGGCGAGGCGATTGGCAACGCTGCCAGAACGGGCGTCTTTCAAAGACGAGATGTCAAAATCGAGTAATTCTCGATGCGTTATGGCCATCGCCACACCGTGCACATGGGTTCATTGTTGAGCAGACCAGCGCGAGAAGTGGCGGTATTCGGGGAACGGAGTCGGGGCCCGACAGCCGGACAGGCTGGTTCGAAGCTGTTTGGGTAGGGTGGCGGCCCTGGAGCCTGATCCGGTCGGCGTGTCACGAGTGGTAGCAGCGAGGACGTGCTGGGCCGCGGGGCTGCCACCGAAACACTGAGAGGCGCTGCGACGCAGGCGTGCCCCGAGTCACTGGCAGCACGCCGATGGGCGTGCTGGTGACCGATCCCAGACGTCGGGGCAGAGTGCCGAGCGCCGGGCGAATGTCGCGCCGCCCTCTCCCGTCTGTCCACCCACTCTCCTCCCCCGCCGAACATCGCTTGGCCTGCAGCGGGAAGGGACGGGCCGAAGACGAACTTTTTGTTGTCCGGCTGTCGTGCCCCAAGGTCTTACCGCCTCATCGCCAACAGAATTTGCCTCCCCTGCAACCTCATTGACCTTGAGTCCCCCGTTTGATTCCCTTCGTCCGGGGCTGCATCACGCTCGAGGAGTTTCTCCTCTCGGTGGTCGGTGGGAAAGCGTGGGTCCGGTGCGTGCTGGCCTACTCCGTGGTGTCGGTAGGACGGAGCAGGTTGGTGCGTGCTGCCTCCTGTGTGGTGTGAGGATCGAAGTCGGAACTCCCACTATCATCGATGAGTTGCAACTCTTATGGTCGCGCCAGAGAGAGCGTTGGATGCGTCGTTGTCACATCAAAATGCTTCTATGTAGAGTAATGTGAAGCCGAGGTGATCGAAGCCACTCTTTTTTATTGTCTTCCGAAAACTGAATGCCACCTTAGTCAACCTCTTGACGTCGATTCTAGTCTTCAGACATGCTTTGCTGAGCTGGGATCAGAGCTGACTCAAGATCACGCTCCACGGCTCGAAGCCAGAAGCGGAATCAGCCCCATTTGCTGAGAGTTGGCGTCGGAGTCTGTTTCGCTGCGGCGGAGTCATGCGCAAGTCTGCCTGTGATTGCATGACGTGCGCACAAATTCATCAGTCCGCCCCCCCCCCTTCCCCCTGTGAGTCGTGAGCACTGGCCGGCGGCGCCTTGACCGGACTCTGTGGGCGCGGGCTGACCTGGCCCCCGCGCCGGTCCGCGCCGCCGGCCATGCCGCTGACCATCTGGGCGCCCAGACGCGGCCGGACGGAGGCGTGACCACAGAGCAGCTCCGCGGCCGGATAGCGGCGCTGCTCGGTGACCGTCGGCCCGCACGCCCGCTGCTAAGGATAGTCCCGTCACGATATGCGCGTGATACTACGGGTTTTCCATGTGGGTCGAGCCTTCCAACGTAGTGAACTCAGCATTGTGGCTGTGAGCTTGGCAATAAACCTCCCTCATGTTTACCGCGCAGTGTAAACCCCCTGCGCCTGCGGATGCTTAAACAGGGACGGGATAGCTGCCTCAGCAAGTCAATATGAGGGGAAGTGATGAACACAGGATGGATTGCGGTCGTCTGCAGTTCCAGTCCTGACTTCGACTTTCTGCGCAGCATATCGGGGAGCCAGGCTGGCAGTTTATCGCAGAGCACGCGGGTCATGCCGTGTCTGGCCACGCACATAATCCGCACGCTTGTGAAACTGGAAAACATTTCAGTCCGCACGTGATTCGAAATTGCCGAACGTCGAGCGTGCATTTTTGTATTTTTTGCAGAATTTTCTGGGGCCCGGTAGTTTTGATCGAGGCCGGGTCCCGGCTTAATTGGAATCGCAGCTACCTATGTAGATGTGCTGTATGTGTGGCTCATATGAGGATAAGGGTTGTGGTAGGTCGTGGGTTTAATTTCACTATTTCAAAGTCCGTCTTACGTAAAAACCATCGTCTTGCTTCATGGAACAGACCTATGTTAAGGAGGCCCCTCTGGAGCGGCACCCTTAGCCAGGGACTGCGCAGGAGCGGAGGGGGGAGACTCCTGATGTTGGATGGCAGTTGCCCTCCCCTGCCAACAGAGAGGAAGGCGAGAGTATGTTTTTACCCCCCCCCCCCCTTCTAAATTTTTAGGAGGCTACCTGTAGATTATCTAAATTCAGACCAAGGTGGTCCCCATAGCTGTTTTGTAGAGTAGTAAATCGGGCTCAGAACATCCTTGTCTTAATCAACAGGCCCATTTTGTGGATCATGAGACCATGTTTATAAATGTGGTATCACATGCTATAAGATTAACAGACCCTATGCTATGTTAAGGAGGCCCCTTTGCTGGCTCGTGAGGCCCTCGTTAGGAACGGGGAGGCGCTGTGCTGGATTAGTAGGTACCCTCCATGTTCACGAGGTCCCGCTTCTAGAACGGGCGGCCCATTCTACGCGTCAAATGGCCGTTGTTCCAGATCAGGACGCCTTGTTCTGGGATAACAATGCCTCTTGGTTAGATTTGAAGGCCCCCTTCGCAAAACGGAAGCATTCTGCTCTGGATTAAGAGGCCACCCCATGTACCAGGAGTCCTATTGCTGGTGCATGAACTGGAACAAGTTAACTGTTAACGATAGCGATACCCTGTGCTGGATTATCAGAATGCCACCACTCCGGATTGCTTAATTATCAACATTTTTATTCTGATATGATGTATGTAACAACTGGATAAGAGGGCATATGCTTTCGTTGTCCCTTCCCCTTGAATGCGACACTGCCCAGAAGCCCTGCCCCCCTCAAGAGAAAGCCCCATTTTGTCGGAGAGGCCCCCTGAAAAA